GTGGTGAATCTCCGAAGGGAGACGGTGAGAACCGATGCCGAGCGAGTGGAGTGGACAAGCCCATGAGTTATTGAGTGCGACGGCGCCGCTGAATTTGGCAGCGGTCGCTGCCCGTAAAAGGAAAAAGTATGCCCCCTAGCTCTAGGCCAACCGCGGCCGTAGAAGAGAGCAAATGAAATGCCCTGCCCCTGCCCCTGCCCGCCTATCCACCGGACCAGATCGGCTGCCGCGGCGGCGACGATGACGACGGCGACACGCGCGCACACATGGATTCCTGCCTAGGCAGCAGGGGCCCTCCCATTCTCAACTCGGAGATGAAAATGGAGAATATATCGGGCCGCCGCAGCTGTCTTCTCCTACGTAGTTCGTCCGTTTCACCAACAGTGCCGTCTAGCTGTTCGATGTTATTCCTCCCTGGCCCGGCTTTTTCCGCTTTCCGGCCCACGGATGGGATGCCCGCGAGGTACGTTCATCCTGCGAGCTTTGTCATTGTCGATCACCATCACAGCACACTCTGATTTCACAGCTGCTGAGGCAGGCATGCATCAACTTTTCGCCGGTGCCAATACGTGCACCGTTCGTATGCACTGGCATGTTACACCACCATGCCATCGTCCGAGTGTTTCCACAAAGAAAAAGAAGGGGAGACGGAAGAAGATTATTATGCTTGGGTCGGTTCCCATGTTCCGTAAGATTTGAGCTAGTGCGCTGCTGGTTCAGAATTCAGATTAACAGCAAATGGCCGCGGAAAGAAACACGGGAAATTCCCACGGAATCTCGTGCTGCATATCATGTTGCCTACTTTTCATTTTTTGCAAATAGCCTCACATTGCAACATGGTATGAAGTTGTAGCATATCATGTCGAAACCTTTTTCATTTTAGGGAGAGAAGCCATACCAGAAACTCAAGAGATAAAATTCCGTCCCCCTTTGCTTTCGAATATGTCAGGAGGTAATGGAGCTGTGCACACACGCACAGCACAGTTTCTTCCATGTTAAGAAAAGCACACGATATATTTATTATTTCATACACATATCATCGTCATATTCTGTCTGGTCCCTTTTGCCAATCCAGTGCACCCAGACAAACAATTTGCTGCAACAAGAAATGAAGCTTGTAATGGCAGCTTTCTGTCTGTAGATTAAACTCGTGGAATGCTGACAACATGTGGCGCCAAAAGGGAACATAGAGTGGCTGCAGCCATGGACAGAATAATATCCCTTCTTTTTTTTTTTTGAAACTTTGTTACACGTACTCACGTGAAAGCTTGATTTAAAGTTAAAAGTATTATGTTTGTAGCTTTTGATCTCATATTCTATTTTTACTCCATATGCAAGTACATTTGTCAAACAACGACTTATGTTCCAGATTATTCAAGATTCGTCATAGGACAAGTTCTGCACTAAAAATTTCAATACCCTTTTCCTTCCAAAAACGCTTTCAAAAGCCTCAAAGTGTAAACATTGATTCACTAGTACGAATTTATAAAAAATAATAAACCAACAAATTTAACTAGTAAAAGACAGTACAGAACGGGCTACTCAAGAATTTCAGGTGAGATCGTGGCGATTGCAACCCACTGGAGGCTTTTGAGCATTTAGATGGCATTATTCTTTACTGGGAAAGTGGTGGCCTCAAATGTCTCTTTATTTATGCATCATTCCTTGTTGCATTTTGGTCGCTGACTTTTGTTAATTAGGACTTGATGTGGACTCAGTTCAAACAGTACTTCATTGTTCTTTACCTTGTTTAATTTAGTGGGAGGTGATCAACTAGGAGACCGTACCTAACGACATTCGCTGCTTGTGGGAAAGAAATTCAGAATTTATAAATATTCCCTGCGAGAAATATTCCAGGTAAGAAATACACCATGCTGCAGATGAGTATGTAGTGCACTGCTATTTATTTCAGACCCACATAGACAACTAAATATCATATGTAGTACTGTGCAAAAAGTTTTGCGAAAAATCATGGATTCTAGACAGTGGTAGGGATGAAATAATTTACATCCTCCTGTTTACTTTGGCATCAGAAGCTTTACTTGAAACCTGCATGGTTCCGAATCTTATCGAAATATGTCATATGTGAAACAGTAATGTTTACTAAGAAAACTATCATGTCATAAAAAACCATATCTACATCTACTAGGTTTGTATGCACACTGGATGTTCCACACAAAGAAACTGGAAAAAGAAAAATTTGTTTCCTGTTCCTAGTAACCGATAAAATGTGTAAACTTTTGGGTAAAGACAACTGTTGATATTTCACTTGTGCAGCCTACTTTTCGGAATATATTCTTTCAAACAGAACTTTGTGGATGCTTCACGTTTTCGAAGGATGAGTATATGAAATTAGAAGAAATATGTGCTAAATAAGGAATATGCAGTCTCCAAGGCCTATGACACAACACAATCATGGCCTATAATCTCTAGCAAGGAGTAAAGATTAGGTAGTTCATAGCCATGTATCTATAACAGAACTTCGTAGCCCTTCTGCGGCTCCTATTCTCTTGGGCAAGGTAGGGACAAAAATCACATTTAGCCCACATATTTTAGCCTGAGCTGTCCCCCCATATAGTTAACCTCAGTGGATAGAAAAATGCAGCGCTAGTGCATATGATTCCTTCTGTATGTAGTGCACTGACACAAGAGGCAAAATTAGGTGAAAATCCTCTGCATTATGCTGCTATCACAAACCCTTGGCGGTTTGTTTAGATTTGACTTAGGCCTTTGTTTAATCCCTTATAAATTTGGATCGTCGAGAGGGGATCAAAGCCTACCACTATTCTGAATTCTGAAAGCTACCCTGCGCCATTTGTAAAAGTGGCATCCCTTTCTTGCTAGCAGAACCCGACAATAGCAGAGTTTGTTACGTAAAGCTGACCTCAAAGGGGGGAAAATGACGCTGCTGAGGAATATTCCGGCCGATTGGTGGTGTAAATGTGATGAGATTTTATAACGGAGATGTAATTACCACGGAGGAAAAGCAGCAAAAGTTCAAAAATTCTTGGACACGGATTCTTGTAGTTCCTCTCAATGCACAATTTTACAGGTACCTGTTACTGTCAGTTATATCACTGACCTGTACTGCATGCTTGTGTTGAGCTGTTCTTTTTGCTGTACTGCAGAATCAATACCTTCACTGTCCATACCTCAAAGATATTTCTGGAATCTTCCTTGCTGCAGTCTGCAGAATTCTACACTGTATCTGCCAAGCAAATGAGGCAGTACCACTTGCCATATCTGAACCTCTTGAGCTTCAGTTCCGCGTCTAATTGCGCTTAATTTTTTTACTGAAAATAATGATAATTCATGTGCCACCGTGCATTTACAATAGTAGGAAAAAGCCTGCTGCAAAAAAAAAAAGCTGCTGTGTGTTTCATTTTTGTGCTAAATTTAGTATTTTCTCCAGAAGCCTCTTTATGCTTATCACCTGTCATTATGATCTCTAGAGTTTCAGTTCCGTGCTGAATGGCGCCTGAAATTCTAGTGAAAATACTTTATTTTCAGAGTTTCGGTCCAGTGCTGAACTGCGTTGTGAATTCTACTCTGCATACTTTATTTCTTGAGTTTGAGTCCAGTATCAAACTGCGCTTTAAACTGAAAATACTGATATTTACTCTGTGACTGTTTTTCTTCCGGTACAGTGTTGAATAGCACCTTAGATTCTACTAAAAAGGCTGACTTTTTAGTTTCAGTTCCGTGTCCTAAATTGTACTGAAAATACTGATATATTTTTAACTCAGCTTTAAACACTAGTGAAAATACCAATAGTTCTCTGATAGAGAAAAGAAAAGAAAATACCAATAGTTTCCGTGTCGCCGTGCAATAATAATAGTACCAATAGTTGCGTTGGTGCTTTTGATCGCAGTTTTATAATGATAATGCAAGAAACGACTAGCCTGTCGTGCAAGAATAGGTGCCAAATGTTTAGCCTTTTCCTGCAAAATATGGGGGTTTCTCTCAGAAGAATCTTGCTTTAGCACTGAGAGTGTGAGACATTAATCGCCTTTAGTTTTCGTGTATTTTCTTGGGGGAAAGAAAAGAAAGAAGTGTTTATGCTTATTCCTCGTTATTTGCACTGATGTTATACATATATAATCTCTGTGGAGTTGTGATGCCAAACCAGTGGACATTACAACGCCTTGTCAAGATAAAAAAAATTTGGTTAGGAATTGGCAAAAAGGGTCCTAAGTATTGTTTCTATATATACCTGGGTTCCCTCTCCACTGCCAAGAAAATATATTCTGCTGTAACCTGGGCCATAGGGATTACTATTACGTACGCCCATGTTTGTATATTTTGGAGCAGTAGAAAAACTGCAACAGGAAGTTAGGGCTCCTTTGATTCAAAGGATTTTCATACTCCTAGGAATTTTGGAGGATTAGAATCCTTATGAGTCAAAACATCTTTGAAAGAATTCTTATTTTTCCTATGATGCAATCAAACGGCCAGGGAGTTTCCCCTTTTCGAAAAAAAAAACAAATCCTGTAGGATTGAGATCCTATGTTTTTTTCTTTCTATTCCCGTGTTTTCAGAATCCTGCGAACGAAAGAGGCGATTTCATTTGGGTGGCTCTGGAGCCGAGCGCCGTGCGTTTGGCGCTGAGCGAGAGGAAAGAGGAGCGCGTGGAGCTGACTCGCCCGTGCGTCATGTGGCGGGCCCAACGAATTGGAAACCGACGGCAAGCGGGCGTTGGGTTGCCGTCCACGCGTCGGCCATCCGGGGCGGGGCTCTCTATAAATACCTCTGCATGCCTCCTTCAGTTAGCATCCGGGCAAGAATTAGCGCGCGCGCTCTCTTTTCTCTCTCTCACACACACCACCAGCAGAGCAGCTTATAACTGATTGATTGATCGATCCATCACCGTGCGTGCGTGCGTACGTACGTGACCACCATGAGCTCCTCCGGTACGTACTGTACGTCACTTGTCTTGCTGTGCTTCTTCCACGGTGACTCGGTTTTCAGTAAGATGGACCGGCCTTGTTGATGGTTTGCAGGCGCCCGCGGTGTCCGTCGAGAGTACGGCCGGACCTATGTGGTGAGGCCCAAGGGGAGGCACCTGGCCACCATTGTCTGGCTCCACGGCATAGGCGACAACGGAAACAGGTTCCTTCCTATACTTACTGGATACATACATACATACTCCATGCGGCACCTCTCTGCTCTGCTTTGTTTGTTTTTGTCTTGGTTTTGAATTGATTTTCTTCCGAGAGGCACGAGTGGCATGTGATCTTCCAAGCTCAGCTGCAAATCAACTACTAGCTCCTGTTGTCCTCAGTAGCCAGTAGGAATATATGCTAGCTAGATACGTAGTACTACTAGAGATAGAAGCACAGGCTTGAGCCACTTGTCTGAATGCATGCGACCTAGCTAGTTAGACACACGACACAACACCACGGAAGTGTGAAGGCACGTATGCATGGGTTGGGGATCGACCCATTTTGTCATATGCCACAACCAGAACCAGTACACACTGATTATTCCTTCCTCACTTCTCACTTGTCACTTAGTATTCCCCACCGCTTTTCTTTTCTGATGGAGTACTTGTACACACGCGTCATTCAGTCAGTCGAATATATGCAAGTCAAGTGCATGTTTTGCAAGAGGAACTTGAACTAAAACTTATATGTCCACACAAGTTGATGACTAGTCTGCAATACTTTTTATCTCATTCATTTTTAATAATTTATTTATGGAGACCTAATTTGTTCCTTTTCCACGATTTCGTCTTGTGCAGCTGGTCCCAGGTGCTGGGCAATCTCCCGTTGGATAATGTAAGTTGAACACCCATCTACAATCCTATTCCTAATTCCTCCTCTTCCCCTGAGCACATCAATAGTATATGTATAGCTAATTCTTGTTATCTTCGGATTAGTTAATTAATTAATGAAGCTTATCTGAACCCTCAAGCTCAGTTATCCTCTTCAGAATAACTACTGTATTTAAGTTTGACAGCCTCGTGCATCTCCGTGCAGGTCAAATGGATTTGCCCTACTGCGCCAACGCGGCCCGTAGCGGCCTTCGGTGGATTCCCATGTACTGCATGTAAGCCTCTCAGCCTAATCGATTACATCTTTACTATTACTACTATATAGTGTATGAGTTTTGAAATTTTGAATCCTAAGCCTGAGAAGCAACTTGAGCCGTTGATGAGGGTCAATCCTATGGCTCAGAGTGAAGGGATTCGCCTCTACAGTACCGGTGTATCATCTCGCTTTGTTCCTGAAAATTCTAGGCCCTCCTGAGGCATTCACTGTAGGTCACATGGACAACAGTACTTGCAAGACCTTGTGTAGGCAGAAGGATGGCTCTAGAAGCTGAAATAAGATGAGTATTTTAATGGATGCTTAGGCGATAGTGTCTGCCTGTCCCAAAGGCTTCACGAGATTTTCTAGGCTGAACTGTACATGATATGGCAGAATTAGTAGCTCATTAGAAGTAGCCTTGTGATTAGAGCAACACTAGCTTCAAATGCATCTTTTTCTCAATCTTTTGTGCATAGTAATTAATGATGCAAAGGCCAGGGCCCAACCTTTTCTCTAAAAAAATACATAAAAGAATTCTGGGGAACAAAAAATTATCCCATTAAAGTGCATCTGAACCCCATTGTAGTACTACTGGTTAATGAAACTATCCCATTATAATAATTATCACAAGAGCTTTACACACACACAAAGAGGGCTGATTCCTTAGACTTATTTCCATCGAAACACATGAATTAAAACTTGCACGTACCAGCTTACTAGTATATATAGGATATCGCTTGGCTGCAGCTTTGCTTTTCCCCCGGTTTTTATAGGCTGTTTCTGGGACAGAAATGACCATCTTTGCATTGCATTGCATTGCATTGCATTGCATACTGAAATGAAATGAAACAGGGTTCGATGTGGAGGAGACTTCGGTTGACGGCCCCGACGACGTCCAAGGGCTGGACGCATCCGCCGCACACATAGCAAACCTGCTATCGTCCGAGCCCTCTGATGGTAATCTGATTTCTTCTACATGTACCACATTCATTTAGCGAATACAAATTAGTATGTACTAATGCTAATAGCTCATGATCTCCAGTGAGGCTTGGGATAGGCGGTTTCAGCATGGGAGCCGCCACTGCGCTCCACTCTGCCGCATGTTATGCTCATGGAAGGTTCTCAAACGGTGTTGCCTACCCTATTACCCTCAGCGCTATCATTGGGTTGAGCGGCTGGCTTCCCTGCTCCAGGTCTGACACTGATAATTTTTGACGAAAAAACAGTCATGTTATTGATACAGTATATTGGTATCTGTTAAGCTCATATACGAATATTGTTCAGGACCCTGAGGACCAAGATTGAGAGCTCACAGACTGCTTTCAGGAGGGCTGCTGCCTTGCCGATAATGCTTGGCCATGGAAGAGGTTAGCATTGCTATTGTTTTGCAGTCCATGTGCTGAATTAATCTCTTCTGAATTGTAAAAATTTACTACTACTAGTACTAAAAATGGTTAATTTCCATCTGTGTTCCTGCAGGCGACGAGGTAGTCACGTACAGGAACGGCGAGAGGTCGTCCGAGTTTCTGCGGAATTCGGGCTTTTCGTACCTGAATTTCAAAGCCTACAACGGGTACTACAGATGGACATGCACAATTTCCCACATGATCATTATTTTTCTTCTGAAATTTAGTAGTACTAACATCATGTCATTTGTGCAGACTGGGCCATCACACCATCCCTGAGGAAATGGACGATGTCTCCAAGTGGCTCAGGGCAAGGCTCGGGCTTGATCGCTCTTGCGGCTAATTAAGTGGAGAAGCTTGTGCCTTGGTGGCTGACACATGACATGAGAGAAATGTATTGACACTATAGAGGAGGAGAAGGTTGATATATATAGGTTAATCATATGAAGAGATCACGACCGGCATGTGTTGATATATAACTCCTCACTACTGAATTTCATGTTACACTTATATTGTACTACTAAGAGTTGTACCCCAGTTATACTGTTTGTTTTGATTGATCACACCAGTAATTTATGTCGATAGCTTCTAATATATGCTTGTGTTCTACTACTTCTGTAGCAGTCCAGTGTAGACTTTTCACGTCACGTCATATCATCATCAAAACACACCAGAGAGATTCATAAAATTCTCAGGGAAAAGATTTGGAAGATACTAACCATATATGTTCTAACCTGTGGCTATTTGGAAGATAATAACATATACTGAGCAAATCTCAAGTGGTGTATGGTTTTAGGTTGATCATCAGCTTCATCAAGATCAACTTCCACCGAATTTGTTGATCTGGCTGCCAAGGTGGAGATTACAAGTGTCAGTTTTTTAGGGGCCCTGCTGTAGTAGGGAGTTTGCGTCATTGCTCAGCGATCCATCGCCCTGCTTTGCGAACCCCTCGTGTGTTTGGGGATCAACATTGTGCTGAAAGTCTGAATGATTGAAGATGATGTCCTCGAGGCCGCCGTCACTGCACAAAGGAACACATGATTAGAATGCTAACACATCCCATATATACGGTAAACTGTCACTTGCATGTTGGTCCGATGAAATAAACCAAGCCGTGGAGCAGGTGTAAATACATCACAAAGAAGGCTTATCACATCAAACTGTTCATGAAAAAGTTTGCTGCGGCAAAGTCTGGTAACTTGGATCATAATTTGGCAACGATTGGGATTTTTGTTGGCAATGTTGGCCCATCTTTATTGCTCCTCCTCTTCATATTATTGCCAAAACCTACCAATTCGATTTTTTTTCTTTTGAAATTTCACCCGATTCGGCATAGCAGTAGCACAGGAGTAGATGGCATCTGACAAGGATGTTGAAAATAGAACTCACCCCACGGCTTGATTTGGCGGACCAAGATCAACATCCATGTCACTCAATTCGCTTGGGATGTGGATATCGTCCATGCTGATACTTGCTTCTGTGGACTGAGAAGCCATGTCGTCGTTGATGTTTGCGGACGATCCATTCCAACGGGCAAGTGTTTCACCGGAGCCGCCAGATGTTCCTTCAGGACTGTCGCTATGTGGTTGAGCCGCTGGCAATTGATCATGCAAGAAGACGACTGAGCATAAAGTATAATGCTACGTACAAAATAAATGAAAGTAGAAGAGAATAGATGTGTGGCGATCGATGCACTGACCGCCTTTCACTCCGAAGGTGTTGGCGCACCCTGTGCACTGGCACTTGTCGCTGCACCCGACGCCGTGCTTCGATTCGAGACGGGCCGCAAGTCGAGCATGAGATCGAGCACCGGCAGCACATGAAGTCATGCAAGGCAAAACAAAAAAAAAGCAGAGGAGACGTGAGTATGTAGTACGTACGTACCTTGAAGCACTCGCAGTAGAGCTTCTTGCATTCAGAATTGCGGCAGTTGCATCCCTTGACGTGCACCCCTGCCACTTGCTGCCGCTGCTGTTGCAGCCCAGGCCCATCGCCGGCGATGATCTTGGGCTTGAAAGCGTCGGGCTTCTTCTTCATGATGTACTCTGCGCGCTCATCCACCTCGTCGGAGTTGTCCTCTGTGTTGCGGCAGCCCTGGCAGGAGCACCTCTCGTCGCAGAACACCCAGGCCTCGAAGCAATGGCAGTAGCTGCATGCATGTGAATGTGGTTTCCGTGAGGAAGACCGTAGGAGCACGTCGGCGGCGTCGCCAGTGGCTTACTTACCGCTGGAGGCACTGGGTCTTCTCGCAGGTGCAGTGCGGCAAATCGTCCATGGCGGCCAAGGAAGAAGGGTCAGAGGGGACAAGATGGGGTAGGAGGCAGATCTGTTCGAGTCTGATGCACACGGAGTCTCCGAGGAACAAACACGTCCTATACAATACAAGTGCAGAGACAGAGTCTATGCAATTCTAGTCTCTTACGACGTGCTGGACTGGATATCAGGATTCTAGCTTCCTCTGCGGGCGGTGGGTCCTGTTATGTTCATTTTTTCCTTCCGTTCAAGCAAATCAACAGTCCAACAATGCAAAGGGAAGCGAACCAACATGGCGCCGGCGCGAGGAATACGGGCGGATCCGGGGGCGGCAGCGACCGATCTGGCTGCTGGTGCGGCGGTTTGTTCCGGTGGCGGCGGCGGCGTCCTGCTCATTCATAGAAAGAGAGACAGGGCGTGAGGGAGAGAGGAAGAAAGGAGAAGGAGCAGGGGGCGCAGGGTCAGGGAGGCTGTCGCTAGCGGTGGCGGCTCCGGCGACCGGCCGGCGGGCTTCCCAGGCAAGGCTAAGGAGTACGCTAGCCTGAGATTCAATAGAGGTATGTTTGATTTTTAGAATTGGGCTTAACAGCCTGTTTGTTGTGCTTCATCTTCTGAATTGGAAACCATGGCGTGCCTGAATATTTTTTCTAGAACATGGTGCTTGAGTTGGTAATCATTCGTGGGTGATTTATCCCATATACTGATGGATCATCCTTTGGAGTGCATGACTTGAATGGATTTCTGAATTCCAAACAGTATGCTCTCGTGATGTTTGATTAGGGTCTTCTGTGAATCCGTACCAAAACCATGCTTGTATTTTCTTGTTCCCTCTCTCTAATCCGGGACAGACACGGTGATTCTGGTCGGAGCCGTGGCTACGTGATTCTGGCCCGCGTGCATCCATAGTCAGAGGACGCCGAGCCTTCCTCGCTGCCAGCAACATCAGCTCGTCTCGGCATGAGGTCTGCACGCTTACCTTATACCTTTCTAATGGAAACTGAACTGGGATTTTTTTGTCTACGCTGCTTCTTGCAGATAGTCCATGGTTTGTACAAATAACCACATGTAAATCTTAATTTAGTTGATATTGGAAAAGATTGTTTCTTTGGAACCTTATATGTGGAGCAACTAGAAATAGTACCTATGTGTTTTTTCCTGGCTCCCACATCAGACCAGTGCTCTAATGTTTGTTCCAGGTTGAGCATGGCAATAATGTACAGTTTGAACTTCGTGCTGGCAGAACTTTTTTGTCTTGAAGCATTCTGTGAATTACACCATGAATAGCAAGAACATCAGGCCATTTGAGAGAAGGGGTGTCCAGGAGTTCTCCCTAAATCTTACTGCATTCTTAGTGATAATGAGGAATTATTATTCACTTGAGAAAATAAAAATTAAAACGGTGAGGCTCTCAAAAGTGAAATGACTTTCTAAGCTGGACATTGACCTTTTTTTGAGCTAGATATTGACTTTCTGAGTAGCACAATATAGGTCCTATCTGAAGCCTTTTACGTGCCTGTTATAATGATCTTCTTATTTTCCTTTGCATATTAACTAGAGAATATTATTGTCTGCTATAACTGCTGAAAGATGTCATATTCCTTTGTTATAATGCTGTTTGCAGTAGGAGGTGTACGCCTCTCGTTCAAAGAAGAGGCTCAACAATCTTTTAGATGGACTTATGATTACCACATATATGATCTTATGAAGCAGGAGTTGAGAACTACAAAATCCATCTATTCCTAGAATGGAGCTGGTTGAAGTTGGGCCTTCAATGGACCTGGTAGTTAGGTGGCACCGACGTTTAGTAAAGCCAATTTTTTATGAGGAAATGCACCAAAAAAAGTTTAGTGGAAGTGGATTAGATTGTTTGTGGTCATATGCTCTTGAGAAAATTTGCGCTTTCTTTATTTCTTCTGATTATATATTTTTGTTTATTTCTAACTGACATTGATATGCAAAAGAAAATCCTGTGATTTTTTTTGCCCTCTCATTGACCATTTAATTTTTCAGTCATAGCTATATACAAAGAAGTATTGTACCATATAGTTTTGTCTTTTCGGAAATGTCTAAAGGCCTGTTACATGCATCATTTTCTCTTTCATATCCTTCATTTGAAACTGAAAATATGAACCATTTTGTTGATATGAACATTAGTTGCAAGGTGAATAAATAGTGGTCGACAATGTGGCTGGATGTACATGAGCATATGTTGTATCTTTGACGCCATTCATTTTGAATCATTAGAATAATAAAAGAGGTTTGTTTGTATAATTATTTTCCAGGTTTCTAAACACATTTATTTATCTCTTTTGTATCCATTGCAACACATATGTTTCCCTAAATAAAATGACTGTACAATTGTGTGAACTGAGTGGCTGGTCGTTACTGTAGATTAAATTTCTCACATTAAGAATCTTTGCCTGACGCTACAAAAAATATATATGTTTTGTAGCAGGATTAGTGATCAAATATATCCTTTTTGTTGTAAATATTTTAGTCTGCTACTTTGTTCATTAATTTTTCTGGGCATTTTTGCTTAAGTTTTATTTCAAAGCAAAATCATATCGAGCTATCTACAAGTTAGAATTGTCCAAAACAGTTTCTGTAACATTGTATATCATGTGTTTTCTCTTTTATTCATAACATAATATGCAGTCACACAATTTATATCTTGGTTGTGAATTCCAGAGGGGAAGGTAGCCTTCCAGGCAGTTAGAGCTTCGTCACTTGGAAGGTAGACAAGCAATGCAAGCCAACAAAGAATTAGGGAAGCACCGAGTTCGCCGGACGTAGCAGAACGTTTGTCGAGCCATCCAATATCGCCAACGGTGGCTACACCAGAGGTATGTGATGCCTCGACCACCCTCAAAAACAGCCTTGCTATTCCCCCTTCCCTTTCTTCTTGAGATTGGTTGTAGCTAACTGAGTGCCCTCAGTCGGTCCCTCAAGCTTTTGTGTATTCAGAGATTTATTTAGAGATGGTAACTGAGCACTAGGTTGTTATCTGCGTTGTTTGATTTTTTTTCCATGCACTGTGGCTGGACATGATGTTGGCAAATACACAAGACATCATGGGCTGAGACAATACAA